AGAAAAAATGCCGCCTGGGGGTGACAGAAACAACCAGGGTGAAGCCTGGACATGTCAAAGGTGGCTGGAAAGAGCCTCTGATGGCTTGGAGCTAGGGAGTAAAACACTGCCTCCTCCTATTCCCCAGGGTAAGGAAATTATTTTTATCAGATAAATCCTTTTCTGCAAAAGGAAGTATTCTTTTAGAATGTACTTCACTGTAGGACCTGTTGAAACTAAAAAATCTCTCCCAGATAGAGAGAGCTGGTTTTGAAGTTATGAGAAACATTTGTAACACTGGTTAAGCTATTAGCGGAATGAGCACTGTCGCCTGTTACTAATATCTGGTTGCTCTGTTTGGTTGTCTTTTTACTTTCTCACACTGCTGCCTTCCAGCCACAGCACAGCAAACCACCACCAAAATATATAAATGATGGTTTTCATCAAGTTTCTGCTTCTTCTCCACTCTTTCCTTTTGTAAAGATAAGAAAACAAACAAACAAACAAACAAAAAAACCACCCTGAACTGTAAATAAAAAAGTGGAACATATCATTATGTTCTTAATGTTATTTCCTTTCATAAGGAACAAAATCCCTCACTTCAGGACAACCATCTGAAATGCCAAATGTAGCCGAAGTTCTACAGAGCCCAGTATTAACATAATGATATGCTTAGGACAAAGTGAAAGAAAAGACTGTATTTAATAGAAATTGCTAGGATATTGCCATTATTTACAATAAATGAATGGAATTTTTATTTCTCTGTGTCAAGATTTGGAACATTCATCCTTCCTGCTGGTAACTCCAATTTTATAATATGAAAAATGTTTAAGAGGGCATGAACCGGTTGAAGGAGGACAATTCCAGAAACAGCGCTGGTTGAAATGTTTGGGAGTATTGGGACAGAACTGACTCAAAGGAATATTTTCCACCAAATTAGTAACTTAATCACATGGTTCCAAGCACTGTAGATTCCCCGCTGTCCACAACTCAGTGTACCCTGCTTACGTTAGTTTCTGAGATATCGTATATTCATAAAGTATTGCCTTCAGGCCTTCAGTAAAGGTGGACCAAGATTTTACTACAGTAACTCAACTTTGCAAAAAGCCTTTGAAAAAATGCCAACAACAAAGAACTATATAGCATTCTGGCTACATATTCTGATTAAAATCAATTGAAGCCACTAAGGAATACAGCTGAACTCAATGGCAGCATACAGAAACTATTATACATGAGAGGTACCAATTATCAATCAAATTCTTAGAGTCCATGAAATTATTAATCTGGCAACATACTCCCCTGAGAACCACAGCAGATGGTTTTCCAACACTGATTAGTACATGAGTTTCTGTGGGTCACTGTGGATGTGCCAGAAGAATATAAAGTTTATATCTACTTTGTACACTAGCTTTACCAATGAAAAGAAGTCACAAAAAACCTATTTCTATTTGTACCTGAGCCTGTCCAGCACGCATGAAAGACCTGCAGAATACTGAAACACAATACAACACCCATAATAGCTGCTGGAGTGGGAAATCACAGCTCCAAAACCAACAGTATAAAAATAAATTCTCCATTATTTATTAGAAAAAAAGCACTAAGAACAAATCAGCAAAACAAAAATACACACACATACACAAAAATCCACCCCAAACCATCTCATTGGTGAGAAGTGGATACATTAGCATCAGTCTTAAATATCACTGGTCTTTAGTTAAATGTATCCTCTCTAACAATGTTAACACTTCTCAACATTCAAGAGGATTAATTTTTTCCCACTGAGGCTTGTGAAGCATTATCTACAAAGGATCATATTAGAAGGGACAGGAGTGAATTTAATGCACTGGATTTGAAGTAATTTACAAAACTCATTAAAATTCCAAAGATGCAAAACGGGCAGTCTGTCACGGGCTTCTGTGAATCTGGAGAACTGATTTCTCCCCCCATGGGAATCCTTTAAACACAAAGGAAATTCTGCAGTCAGAAACAGAAACGCTCTGCAGACATAAATGAAAAATGTGCTTTGTAAATTGAAATATATCATTAGTTTGTATTTTTCAACTGAAGTTTGTTAAATACAATAGATGTGAGCATGGGAAAGCAGAAGGGACTGCTACATTTTATTTTAGTAAATATTAATTGTGCATGGGAATCACATAAGGAGTAACTGCTTTTACTAAATGAGAGGATAGTAATGCAGAATTAAGACAATAATGAGAGGGGATGGAAAAATGTATTTTTTTATTTCTCTAAGACCACTCAGATAAATTATTTTCTCACCATTTACACTTGAACACTTTCTTCATAAATGTTGCTAGGGGTCTGGTAAAGTTTTATGAAACCAGTACAAAAAACTAGAAAGAACAGATGTTGTTTCAGTAGACCATCTACCCGGAAGGACTTGCAAAAGAAAGCTTTCCCTGTTTTCTTTACCTATGTCTCTTGAATCATAGAATACCTCAAATTGGAAGGGACCCACAAGATTCACTGACCTAACCTGTAGTAGATCATAGAATCATAGAATCTCCAACGTTAGAAAAGAGGAATAATCTAGAAAAGATCATCTAGACAACCATCCACTTACCACCAATGTTGCCCACTAAACCGTGTTCCTTAGTACAGTATCTGTACGGTTCTTGAACACCTCCAGGGACAGTGACTCACCCACTTTCCTGGGCACCCCATTCTAGTCCCTCATCACTCTTACTTTCCGAAAATAAGTTTTTCCTAATATCCAACCTGATCTTCCCCTGGTAACTTGAGGCCATTCCCTCTTATCCTCTCGCTGTTACCTGGGAGAGGAGACCAACCCAGACCTTGCCACAGTCTCCTTTTAGGTTATTGCAAAAAGTGATGAGGTGTCCCTGAGCTTCCCCTTCTCCAGACCGAACAATCTCAGTTCTGCCAGCTGCTCCTCATAAGGCCTGTGCTCCAGATCCATCTCAGCTCCATTGCCCTTCTCTGGATATGCTCCAGGGCCTACATGTATTTTTCATAGTGAGAGGCCACAAATTGAACACAGTACTTGAGATGAGGGCCCACCAGCGCCAAGTACAGAGGGACAATCACCTCCTTGCTCCTACTGGCTGTGCTATTTCTGATACAAGCTAGGATGTCATTGGCCTCCTTGGTCACCTGAGCACACTGCTGATTTGTGTTCATCCAAGCATCGACCAACACCCCCAGGTCTCTTTCCTCTGCACAGTCTTCCAGCCAATCTGCTTGACGACCATAGCATTGCATGGGGTTGTTGCGACTAAAGCGCATGACCCAGCACTTGGTCATGTTCAGCTTCATCCCGCTGTGCTCAGTCCAGCCTTCCAGCCTGTCCAGATTCCCCTGTAGGACCTTCCTAGTTGGGCTCATAGATCCTGATCATATTCAAAGATCACAATGGCTATACCAGACTAATCAATTTCTTTCAGGGAAATTCAAATTTTGCCCACGTACAGCCTTAATTCTTTTTTTTTTTCAGAGATGGCTCCCCATCCACGCCACAGGATTTGCCAACCGTTGTTTCATCCCACCCTAACAGACAACATGGTTCAAAATGATGGCATGTGTTATACTGAAAAACTTTTAATCCTGGATCAGGGAGTACAGAATTCCAGAGGCAAAAAAATGCTGACTTAGTGCGTAGGGGATAGCAGGCTCTGCAGGAAAAAAGAATGTGCCAAGCCTATGGAGACAAATGTAGATATCAAGCAAGTATACAGCACATGCTGAATAAAGTAAATGAATGAAGATACGTAGAAAGACAGAGACTAGCTGTCTTGTACCATCTAAATCCTGTTACAGGCATATTTATCATTAGAGGTCTGGTCTTTATAAATTGTTAGATATGCTTCTGTTGGCTTCCTGTAATTTAGTTTCTGAGCTGCTGTCTCAAATTTTTGAATCAAAATTGAGCATTATGAAAGAAGAATACCAGGACTGAAGCATTTGGGTAAGACTCAATATAGTGTTCACTGACCTGCAAAACCCCATTTACTTATATAGGACTTACCCTAGCTTCTGTACATACTGAGTAGAGTTTGCTGTATACATAGAGTAGTAAACAACTTGGTAAAAGACTTAGCATTATAATCCAAAGGTTCAAAAGAACAAAAGCAGCCGCATATGCCTTATATGAGTTTATCTAATGTATGTGTAATTCAGGAGTAAAATAAAAATTAAAGGGTTGAAATAGGAAGTAATGAGAAAAAAAGGTCATGGGGAGTGATCAATTACAGTATGAAACAAGAGATAAAAACTGCCAGGGAAGGGATTAAGGAAGACAAGACATCACTAGAGTTGGGAGAAAGGAAGATTATTTCTGTAGTTGAATTATAGCTAGATTGACAGTCTCTGTAATGACTTCATCAGACAAGCCATCATTAGGACCTTTCAGTTCTGTGTTCTAAAACACTTGGAAATACATTGTTGGACTTCTGAAACCACTCTGTGTGTGTGTGTGTGTGTGTATGTGTTGTGTGCATACATGTGTACATGGATGTATGGCACTTAGTACCAGGGGTCAAATCTCAACTGAGTTATCTGGGCAAGGTGGTAATACAAAAAGCAGAAGAAAGTACTGGCAGAACATACTACTGCAGATGATAAAGACATTACATACATTTCCATAAAGTGAGTGACTCATAAAAATATGCCAATTAAAATAGAAATGATTTGTGTCATTAGAAAAAGATTTAAGATCCCTATGCCTATGTTAAGTTATAACGAACAGCTAAAATCTGTTAGTAGTCAAAACATGGCAAAAAGGGTATCTTGCAGTTATAATTTCCATGACTGCCTAAGTGAAAGTTCTCAAACACAGATACAAGAGCAAATAAAATTCCATAATAAATATCAAATGCCAATGATTTCAAGAAGTACTGACTTCTTCCACCAGCTGAACTGTGGATCTTTGCTGGCTGTTTTCACCACGTAGGCATGATTTCACAACATTTTGGTGTGGCACATCATTATGGCCTATATAAACATTTCAGGCCATTTCTCAGAGCTTCAGACCACAAACTCACCTGCTCCTGGGTCATCTTCTGCAGCTCTTTCTCCCAAGCTGCCTGGTCATCATCCAAGTGGTAGGAAGCAGGTGGGGTGAGTCCACGCAGAATCAAGGGGTCACGGTCATGGCAGAGGGCTGTCAGATGTCCAATGTACAGCTTCAATTTGCTGCGATTCTGATCAAGTTCTAAGAGGGGCTGAATTATCTGAAATAAGACAATAGAAATAGTGAGGAACAGTCTGAGACGACTAAGACACGAGCAATGGTGAAGGTGAAGCTTACAGTCTTGTTCAGCTTCAAGAAACACAAACACTCCCTTCCCACAGTATTCCTATCCTATGGCCCTGCAACCATACAGCACAGAGACAGACAGAAATGAAGTACATCAGGTAAAGGGGATGTGGTGATGACAACCACCTTACTGATATCTGAAATAATGGTGATATGGGCTGAAAAATGAAGTAGTATAAATTAAATGGATTAATTCTATTGATTATCCATGAGGACTTCAGTCATCTATCTCAAATCCCTCCTTTAAAGGTAAATTATTCTTCTGATAGAAAGGTGACTGGCAATAACAACGTAGATTCTAGCTCATTTTACTTACATTTGTTACGTATGTATGCATGCATTAAACATATTTCAAAGAAAGAAATTTCTAATGATGGAAAGTTGCTTGTTTCTAAGATGAACATCACTCTGCTGCAGAAACCACAGAAAGTATCTTAACCAGAAAGTCTTCTACAGTTTTGAAAAGGCAATCATCTTATGCAAGCCTGATTCTATGCAACACGATAAAAAATAAAATCAAAGAACTCTAATTAATTTAATTTTATTTCATTTTACATTACCTAATCTGAATCTCTGTATTTTTTTTTTTTTTCCCCTCAGTGCAATCCCTGGAACCATCCAGTTCCCACACAAACTATCAGAAGAGTCATTTTTCATTTGTTTTTTCCAAAAAATAGGGCCCGAGTGGATAAACACGTACGTGGAAACCCTCGCTATCTCCCTACCCAAAAGAATGCACTTTCATATTTCATGGTCTTATGCCCACAAAAATAGATATATATTCTAAAGTGCAGAACACAAAACTTTATCTTTAAGGTTTGCAACAGAGCAAAGAACCAGGCTTTGGACCTCCACTGCATCAAACAAGGCACTGAAGCTACATGCAGTGCTGCTCCCCAGCTCTGAGAGCTCGAGAGCCCGGCCACAGCGCTGGCAGCCTGGCTTTGTGCTCCCAGGCAGGGGCTGCACCTGCTCTCTGCTAGCGGCCGGGGATATCTTTTCAATAGGACACCTCTGACCCCGCTAATGAATAAGGAGTGAGATAATCTCTGAGTCAACAGAAACAGGGTGCGGGCACCACTTTCAACAAAGCCTCTGGCTTCGAGCCCTTTTAATAAGGCTGTCAGGGCTCACTTATTTTGTTTCTAACGCTGTTCTACATGGATTAATTTCTGTAGAGCCAGAGGATCTGAGAGCAGTGGCTAAGCAGCTAACTAATGTCAAACTGCTTGTCCCACAGAGAGCCAGCTGTACTTTGCAGCCTGCGCCAGAGACACTGCTGAGAAGGTGCTGGGGCAGAGGGGATGGACAAGAGACCTGCAGAGAGAGTAAGCTCACTCGCTTATAAAACCTAGTGCTATGTGTGGCCTCAGGGCAAGCTCTGTTCGCAGTTATGTGCATGTGTTAAAATACAATTTGATGCAGCAAGCCTGCAGATTGCAGCAGGGCAGAATGCTGCTCTCTCGTACAGGACAATGGGAAGGGATATTTCAGCACAGTCATGTTTCACTTCCATTACCTAGTACACTGGTCTTTAACCAATTATACCTATCAACTTCGGTTGTTTGGTGAATTTGCACTACCTATCCCAATTTCTTATAATTAAGATCACTGAGATTACGATCTCAAACTGCAGTGGCTGTACATGTTTAAAAATACATGACATTTCTAATTTACCTGGTGTTTCTTATCCTACTAATTGGTTTGGCCACAAAGGGGAGAATGACAGAATGTCCTGAGAAATGTCTGTTTTTATTAAAATGTGAAAATGAAGGAGTCAACGTCTGATAACTAGCTGTCCAACCAACACAGCAGCTGCCTTGTATTCTCTTTCAGGTACCACAGTCCATTCAACATCCATCAGATCTGCAGATCCATCAGATCTGCAAAGAGCAAGACTTGCCAACTTTCCCAGCTGTGACAAAGAGAAAGCACAGCTCTCCAGCAAGTAGTGATGGAAAACTTTAATAGAAGAGCTGAATCTAACTGCTCAGAAATGTTCTCTCTGCCCCCTTACCTTGAGCAGCATGTTCCTCCCTCTCTGGAAATAGGCCAAATGAGGCGTGTGAAAGTTCTTAACTAGCAGCACTCCCAAAGCTGTTCACAGAGCAATGATTTCTCTCACTTGGGATCCATTAAAGCCTGCCAGTCAAGAAGGAAATGCCCTTCTATCTGCGTTCCTGCCATATCTAATTTGAACGACACAATTAGCAAAAGGCATTCTGCTTCCCACACAGCTGAGCTGCCACTGCCTTATCTCAAGAGGGTGTAAGAGCATTTGCTAAGTGGGAAGGCAGGGCAGTACTGGATGCATAAACCACAGCATGTTCTCATGATCAGCTCAGTGCCGTAGAGCTTTCTAGGAAAACAATGGATAAATAGACCAAACCCGGGAATATCTTCTAAAGCAGCCAATCTTCATTAAGCACATTGATATGTTTGGGCCATCCTCACCAGAGCATGGAATGAAGCCTGCTTAATGTACCCTCTAGTTCAGAATACTGCTAATGGGCAGCTATGTTTGAAGGAAAAAAAAAAAGGCAATTGTGCTACATTGCTGAAGTTGGGACATGAAATGTCTGACAAATCACTGATACAAAACCAAAGCATCTCTACCAACTGATAAAGGCACTTGGGAAGGTATTTCAAAACAAATTCAACTTGGAAACAACGTGCTCCGAAAAAAAAAATAAAAATTTAACTTCAAGCATGACAAATGTGCATCTAATTGTAGGTTTGCAAGCCCATCAGGACTAAGATACGCTTCAGAAGGAAATTAATCCTGCTTTTTCAACTGTAGTCTTGTTGGTGCTGTACAATGGTCAGCTTACATATGAGTAACTGTAGTTGAAAGTTTTTTATGACAGAAGTCTGCATTTAAATGTGCTGCACAGATAAGGTAGTTGTAACTGGATCTGGCCGGATAGAGCTATATAACTGTTTGGTGTCTTTTAATGTGAAAGATGAATACAATGAATACAATGAATACACCTCAGATACAGAGCCTACAGTGTCTAAAAGTTTGTCTGAACAGTGTGTAACGTAAATATGCAAAAACAGCCAACCATGTGGTGATACGGAGAAAAAAGGCAATGAATGGGTGGTGTAAGTGCAGCAGTGTTGAACTGAGACAAATGCAACACTGACTATCCATAAACGTCTGCAGAGTAAAGTATGGTTTTAATCAACGTGTAATAGAACTCAGTTACCACAACCACTAGCTTTAAATTATTAGTTCTCCAGGCAAAAGGACAAATGACCCAGGCACCTTTCTCCTTGCTAACATTCTCTTCTTCTCCAAAGGAAGCAACCGCTTTTCCAGAACTAAGTAATTAACTTCATTTAATTAATTTCAGAGAATATGTTCTACATTTCTACACACTGATAAATCTGCAACTCCCACTTCAGAGCCAAATAAAGTTTTATAGGCACTCATAAGAGTTTGCCTGTTTTTCCATTTACATCAATTGATCTAGAAAGAGTTACCTGCTTCCAAAACTTCCTTACTCAGGATCATGCATGTGGATCAACAACAGTCATCTTTTTCTCACAGAAATGTATATATGAATTCTCTGGGCAAATAAAAAGGAGAAAATAACTTCATATTGGCACTGCAGCACCAACACGGTTGGCACTGGCACGACTGCTGTCATTAGCTTGCACATGTGTTATGTGTATTTTATTCACTACAGAACATAATCAGGCAGACTAATGCAGATAAGTGGTCTTCATTCTGCAATCAAGTAATTCAGCAAACTTTTTGCCACTTACTCATAAATCACAGAAACCTTTTCCAACCTTAATTATTCTATTTTTCTAAGAAAATAAAAGGGAACTGATAGGTTACCTCACAGTCAAAGTAATTAAAGTGAGGTCAAAATACAACTGGGTTTGCAAGCATTTGGAACAAGTTTATGGATGAGGGATCAGAAAGTTTCCAAGGAATTCCCCAGTTTGAGAAACACTCTAGCTTGCTACACTCTTCTATGGACCTTGGCTGTTCTTTGTAGAAGCTGCAAAGGCACAAAAACAACAGCACAACAAGGACGCCTTCAAAACCTTAAGCTGGATGTGGCAAATAGGCTTTGAAAACAATCAAGTTAAATCAGATAGCACTTTATCTCCTATCAAGCACATTTCAAGCAAACAAGGCAAATTATTTTCAGCTCCGGTTTTCAAACTCCATTGCCTCCAGATACTGCCCAACAAAACGTACTCCCCAAACTACAGTTACACAGCAGAAGATGGACCTGAAGTCTGGGTACATGGAGACATTTATTAAAAAGAAATTATTCCAAGGAGGACTTGAAAAATCTAACAAAAGATGGAATGGATCATAGTGGGTCCTCAGATGCCAAAAGGAAAACAACTCTCCTGTATCTGGGTTTTGTTATAGATATCATCAGAAAAGAAAATTTTGCCTACATAGCAAGATTTCTTGTATTGTGAGATACGGAAATAAACTAAGAAACAGAACGATACAGTCTGGAAATATTTGCATGGTAAATTGAATTATGCCTTTTCCCTGCTCAAACCATTTGTGTTTGTTTGGCAACAAATGTAAGGGTTCAACTACGATCATCGTGCAACCATTGAATGCAGTGGAGTTTTATGAGGCATGAATTTGGCTCAGAAAGTGCAAAGCTTTCCCAAATTCAGAACAATTTATCACTGATGTCTTCCCTTCATTATTTTAAATGGAAACAGAAGAAAGTTCTCAAAAAGACACTGCCTGACCTCAGTTCAGTTCAGCTCAGTTCACTGCTGCACAGATACTTGGTTTCTTCAGGAGACCACAACACGAAGCCCAAGGACAGGCTCAGTTTTCTTCAGATTTGTTTTAAAGACAAAAATGGATTTAAATCTAACCTTCATCATTTTCTCCTCATAAAACAAAACAAAACAACATGCGTG